TATTGGTTTATATTGGCACAGTATTACACTAATTTTGGTTTGTATCACACCAATATAATCCTGCCTCGTATTATTTTTGTCTGCATCGGTCCAATATCACCTCTACTTTACATTATTTTTATTGCTAGTGGGGTGGGACTAAGTCCCTTGTACTGCGGCCACTTCTGGCCTATTGTACCAGCCCCAGATGATAGGTGAGGGTGATTGTGGAGCAACTGGTGGAATGAAGATTTGGCAGGGGAAACCGAAGTACTCGGAGAAAACTTGCCCCGGCGCCACTTTGTCCACCACAAATTCCATTTGACCAGATCCGGGATAGAACCCGGGTCGCCGCGGTGGGAAGCCAGCGACTAACCGCTTGAGCTATGGTGCGGCCCCTAATATCACCTTACTTTACATTAAGCTTTATTTGAACTTCACATACTTTTTAAAAATTCTCATCTAACAAAACATCTGAACATGACGTAAAACGCACATTAATTAACATGATCCATAATTTTTATTAAATATGATGCATATTTGGTTAAGTACAAAAAAAATAATTTGTAACATTTATGGAATGGGATATCTGCAGTGTGGCTGGGTTTACAGCAAAGGGGATTCATCTGCTATATAAATGTGCAACTACAATTAATTGACTTTAAGGCCAATGGCGATAAATCAAATACAAAACGACGATTTAAGAAGAAAAGAAAAATACATGTAAGGTCTAAAAGTTTGTAATGATGGTATATTAATACAATTATTGACTTTCTGGATATTATCCATCATTCTGCTTTTTATCTGCTTGTTTAAAACAATGATTCCGAGACTGAACTGTCTCTGTCCTCAGGGAAAAATCCTAATCAGTTGGGCCCAAGCAACAAAGATCTCAAAACTCCATGTACATGAGGCCTTGCACCTATGGCCATGTATAATGTAAGGCCACAATCCAAAAAATTAGAATGCTATGAAAATAGAAGCCAACACTAAAGGGTCAAGAGGGATGGAGACAGATCCCAGTCTCCAAAACGTTGTTTTAAATTAAAAAAGGAAGATGGATAATGTCAAAAATTGTACAAAACAAAGCAGGAATTCCCTAAGAATGACTATTTTAAATGTCATTTACAAGTCCTCATTTCACTAAAATTGGATTTACATGTCAGTAAAATTTAAAATTATTAAATAAATCGACAACTTAAATGATAGACCCTAAAGTACAGAAAAAGTTAAGAAACAGAAGTAAGAAGCAACGTTTCTTCCGAACTCTTAGCATTATGAGAAAATAAATGGCCAAAATGAAGTGTAAAATGTATTTCAAAAGACAGTTCAGTAACCTGAGGTACAGCAAACTTCTCTGCAGTTACTTTAGATATGTAAGATTGTGTATTTTCTTCATTTTAATTTTATTAATTTAAGCATCATTATTTACTTATTTATGGTTTACCTAACCCTGTCAATAGTTTACATAATATAGGACTGAATAATAATACAATCGGTGAATAACAGAATGGAAAGAACACCTAATTTTGTATAATATTCTGATATTTGCCTGGGGGAACTGAGAATATCACAAAAACCTCAATGAGGTTAGCCAATCTCAGGCTGAGAACTGAACCTGAGACTTGCTAAGTATGAAGAAGAAGTACTACAAAATGAACTGGGACATTCTGCTTCACCATGTGGTTCAAATGAACCATATTTCACATCAATGGCATCTGCAAACACAAAAATATGCTATTCCACTTCTAGAACCGATTTCTTAAATAAAATAGCATAATTCGGGTCTGGGTGTGTCTGTGTATGTGCCTTCCATAATAACTTTGAAACAATATGGGTTCATGTTACACTGATGTAAAACATTAAAATCATTACCTTCAACATATAAGAGCCTTCAAGAATATGAAAATGATAGCTGCACAAACTCTTAAAACTACAAACAACACTAGCACCATTCAGCAACATGGGATCAAAGTATATCTTTTGTTTGTTGAAGGCAAATTTGTCTGTAACAAGAATAACAGCATGCGGAAAAGTAATGCACAAAATGTTTTTCTTTTCATATAGAATAATGCATAATAGCATATCATAAATAGTATAAAAATTAAGTACGAATATACTGTATATGTTGAAAGGACCAACATGTCATGCACATGAGTATGCAGTAATATTTCCAAATGAAATGAAATCAACATGTCTTATGGGTCTCAGGAAATCTATGTGATCTTTTGGTGATCACCTTCACAGAAATGGACAATTCAATCACAGTAATATGTAAGCAGCAACTTCAATTGTTGCTTCATGTTTTGGAGAATATGAAATTATGTATTCACATAATTCATAAGTATTTGAATTTGAATTTCATCAAGAATAACCTACATCAGATGTCACTGAAATCCTACCATCTGCAGTGTGGTTGACATGTGCATGAATTTTGGAAGACAAGGATCAAATGAGCAAATAATATCTTCTGCATGGGCCATGCCAAAAATTTAATTCCAATACCAACTGCAGTACAATACTTGAACAATAATCACATGAATGTGTGCCAGGCACTGTTCCAAAAAGAAAACAAAACATCTAACTAATTATCCTTACCATGATAAGGATATGCATGTGATATATATCTTATCAATACAAAAAATTAAATTCAGAAATGAAGTACATTCCACACTAACTTTCTTAATAATAAGTACCAATTTGGAGCTGCATTTGAGTTGGATAATATTACGTGTCATTACTGTCATATGTATAAAACTTTGAAATCCATAGTTTTTACCCATATGAAGTGTTTCATGGGAATGCATATTTGTAAATAACATGACATAATAACTTTAAGCTATATGCAATGGGTTGGTCTCTGAACATGAACCACAAAATCATTATAAAAGGTTAATCAGCTCAGTCCAATGTGACTGATAAAATATTTTTTCTATCATTCCTTTTTAATCTTTCATCCTTGACATGTTTGGGTCTTAGAGACCATCTTCAGAAGGATATATCAATACGGGCAGAAACTACTATTACCATGTGTTTGGTCAATATCAATACATACATACAGTATCATCACATTGCCATTAATATAAAGCCTGATTCATTTTATCAGTCACACTGGATGGAGTTGATTAACATTTTATAATATTGTTAGCATGATGGACCAGGATGAATCAAATCAAATTAAAAAATCATTCTTTTATTTTAACAAGCTAAGAGGTCAACAGACATGGATTTTTTTTGTCTAACCTATCAAAGATACTGGGTAAAAGTGCGCATGGGCATGCAATGACACTGTAGTCATTGCCCTAGTCATTGAATTACCTCCTGACCTTTAAAAGAAATTCTCCATATTTCTTGTAAGCAGCTAATAGCAAGTGCTATTCACTATCCATGTAAGTCTTATTCATAAAGACAAAGTTATCCTTGTATTTAATTAATTTAGTACCATGCCATGAAGAGGTATGAAAGTGTAAGTATATCTCCACAATTCTTAACCTCAGCACCGGATGGGGGCGGTCAGCTTCATACACCTGCTGTTTTACCCCCAGGGGGGAAAGAGTCCCCACTATCCACTGCATTGGAAAATGGGTGGTCCCCACAACCGATTTGGATGTGAAAGAGTGAAGAAGAATCTCTTCCCCTACCAAAAATCGAACCCAGACTCCTCGGTCAACCCCATAGCCTAATAGCTATACCGACTCGTTAGGTTCATACGGATACTATTAAAATTATAAGTATACTGTGGCTGTTTGCAACATCTATATATCTAATGGGATATTTGTTTATAACTGTAAAATATGAAGTTTGTATAATTCTTGGATTATCGGTTCGCATAGCTCATCCTAATTAGTGATCAGTTTTATATTCTACCATGGTATAAATAATCCTATGTCGTGCGCCAAATGAGCTCAACTAGCTTCTGGGGCGGCAAAGTTTTATGTCGGCCTTGAAAAACTTGTATTACCCGTACTTCGGGAATGCCCAATGCTAGTAGCCTAATCCTACGTCATATTCCTGCACCTGGATTGCTAAATGCTCATTGCGCTATTTCTAACAATCGAAGACATATTATTTCATTTCAGTAACATTCAACGTAAAATAACAGAACGTTTAATCATAAAATAAAGTTATTCAAGTCATAAATATTATTATTTTAGGTTATGTGTTACATCGTTACATTTTTCTTGCGCTAAACGGATTTTGCTTCTCAACTGTTCTAAGCGAGCCATCTAGTGGTTGAAAGTTTAACTACTCGAAATTATGGATTTGTCTACGGAGCTGATCAGCTGATCTCGCAGTGATATAGTACTGCTTGCGTTGACGCTGGACGTTGCGAAACAACGTTGACCGAAAAACATGACTGAATTCTTTCAAGGCTTTTTAAAACTATTCAACACTGCTATATGATCATTTCACGAAATATTCATGTTAAGTCCATGCCCGTCCACAAGCCTTAGAGTGTGAGAAGTCGAAAACCAGTTCTTCCTATAATTAGGCATGTAGGTGTGTCACTTCACTGCATGAGCGTTCCACATTGGCAAGGTCATGTGATTAGCATTGATGAGTACAGTTGGCCTCCAAACACATCAGCCCAAACGACCTTGACAATCGTTCACCACGGTGCGCGACGGTTAGCCTACACTTTCATATGAATTTATGAGAAGAAGATTAAAGTCACTTTCTTGCTAACTGCACACGCTCATTTTCCACTAATATCTTGATGTTAATAAAATCATATGTTAATAAATAACATTCCTTACTATGAGGTCACGGCATTTTATGTTTATTCAAGTGGTCACTGTCAAAGTGTTACTTAATAGATTGATAGAATCATACCCACAATTTGATTAAAATAGGTTATATGGCGACAGGCCAACGTGCCGACAACAGGGTGCCAAACCATACACTAGTAGGGCCAACATTGAAGACACACTGCAAACGTCAATAAGGGTGACAGTGTCAAACCAAGAAATTCCCCGGTTCATATGAATGGTATATGTACTAGGAAAAGAGATGACACTTACCATGGTCATTTTAGGCCATAATCTACCGATTACTTCCACCACTTCATCGCAGGAGCCAGCCACCGTCACAAGCACGCCGCACTCTCGCTAAAACAGTTCCCCACTCCCAGCCCGTCCCGGCACGATCGTCCTTCGTCTTTCACTACAAGTAGAATTCTTCTAAAAATTGTCGCTCCGTGTAGTGTGGCGCAGCAGTAGTTTAGACGCTGTTGCAATGTTTGTTGTGGAGCGAACCTAGTCAAATGAGTAACTGTTCGCTTTGCGTGACTTTTGTCACTCAATACCGTTTCTTACAGTTTACCATTCGAAAGAAGTCACAACATCGGGAAACAAACTTCTTTCTCAGCAAGAGAACGTACATCCACAACTTGGAAAACTAGCCAGGATGCAAATAATTTAATAAACATTTCCCAGCCAGCGTAGTGTATTTACGAGGCCATCAATCAAGCTCCCAACGGACCAATCCCAAGCCACAATCCAAGTCGTGGTCCTCCATATTAGGAAAGGTAGGTGATATCATAGGCGGAGCGTAGTCTATTACTCCTCCTCCACGTAAAAACGCGGGAAGTGAATGTTATACAGATAATCAGTAATTACATCTTCCAAAGATCACTATCAAGTCTGCAGAACGTGCTCTAAACATAAACTGCTTAGTTGTGGGCTGGTTCCGTTGCAATGCTGTCCAACGCATTCGCATTGATGGTCCTGGGTAGTAGTTATATAACTAAATGATTGATAACATTTCGGCCTTCAAGGTTAACCCAACATATTGGCAAGATCAAGTACGCGTGTAGATAAGAAGCGTTTATCTTTTGAATGTTTTGTAGCATTTTTGCAGGTCTCAATCGATTAATTTAAACTCGATATAGTCTTTTATATTATTTATTATTAATTCTTCCGTGGATACTTGACACTGCATTCTTCAGAAACGTTTTTTTTTTCAGTGCCCAGCATATATTGGCATTATTCAGTGGCGAAAGAGAAATTTGTGTATGGTGGTGCGGAATAAATATTCTTTACGTGCGTATATTTAGTTTATTGTGCAAGTGAAATCAACGATGCTAACAAGTGTTAATAAGTATATTATTTCCATTTGGAAGATATTGTCTGAAAAATTTAAAATCCTGGACGCCATTCACGTAGTTGTGTTTTATGGTCAAGCATACGCAATATTCGTTTCAATAATAGCTTACATGAATTAATTTGGGCCGTTTTCGATAGAATTATTACTATCCTTTACAACATTCATGTTCAGCGTTCTCATGGTACTTTATTTTTAGATTACGTCAAAATAGACCGTGTATGTAACGTCCTATTACAAACAAAAACATGAAGAAAACCAGTTAAAATAATTAAGCGATAAGCTAATGCACAGAAAGACATTCGCTTAAACTTAGCTTAAAATAAAATATATCTTTTTGTGGGGGGGATCTCTTTTATACAGCATGAACCCCCTTGCTTGTTTATCAATACAGTTTCTACTATTTTCGTTTTTTCTTTTTCTACAGAAGACCGAATATAACATAACTCGTTCCGTAGCGGCGGAACAAAATCTACAGGCGTAACAGATAAACTATTTTAGTAGTCTGGAAACTGTTACCGGCGAATGGTTTGCTCAAAAATCAATTTTCTGTTGAATAAAATGTAAAAGTTTCAATGACCGACAGGACCTATGCACGAGAAACGTCAACTTTTGATGGAATTAAAAAGTAAATTCTTTTCGCAGTTTATATAGATCGGCTATAGTTAAATCAAAATGTATATGTCCAACTAAACTCTTAGGCCAATTACGTAATTTAATATTAATAGACACAAAAATAAGTCTACTGCAAAATCTAAGATTTATGTGTTTTAATTTATTACAGAATTGCGTGAAATATATTGTGTCACTGCAATAAATAGTCCAGGTTCTTCCTGCCCACTCCTAACGTCGGAATTGCTCCAGCTTTATAAGACGGAAAGCTTGAAAGCCTACATCAAGTATGGGAAACGAGAAGTTGCTTACTTAATTCGTTCCTCTTTATACCTTACAGTGTCGATATTGTTCTTTCTTTTATTTGATAATTTTACAGACGATAGGACTCCATGGACGATCCCGGCTTGCGAGCGAGCGAAGACGGTTCATGCCTTAGACCGCTCGGCTACTGTGACCGGCAGTGTATAAGAATAATATATAAGAATTCAGTTCGTACCTCACAGGAAACAGATCCGAACCCACGATCCCGGCTTCCGAGCGAGCGAACACAGTACATGCCTCAGATCGCTCGGCTACCGTCACCGGCGAAACGAGAAGTGTAAGCCTAATTATAAATATATATAAATAATTCCTAAATATGGTACAAACCCGAAGATCATGGATTCGAGTTAAGATGGGTTTGTTGGACTTTTCAATTGACCTAATCCTGCCAGCCACACTATAGCCCTGGGGTCGACTCAGCCTCTAGCAGAAATGAGTACCAGGAAT